GTCAGACCCGATCCCTGATCTTGTGCCTATGAAGCGTCACGCTTACCTCCACTCCAAGCCGCCACTGCTGGATTCCCGGAGACCACGGCTTTTGTGTTTTCCCCCTGTTGAGCGCTCTCCGGAGACCATCTCCATAACTTCGTTCAGAGAATCGTTTGGCAGATTTTGAATACAGTTTTGAAATCAGCATCAAAAAATACGTCTAGCAGTGTTGGTCTCATTTCAAATGGCCACTTCGACTTGGGATCCTTCCCTTGTGAGGAGGGCATGCTTCAGTTCCCAGAAGAAACTTCAAAGGAGAAGGATTCATGGTTTAAGGTGCAATTTCTTTTCGTTAACTATTTCATTTGTGGTTTGTTCCGAACGAGCCCTACTCTCTCGGTTATCAGGTTGTAATGCGCTGTGTTGCCCTTCGTTTTTGACGTTGGAAGCGGCAGCACAACCCCGTATTCACGCAGGGCGATGCCCCGATTCACATCAGCCGGGGCATCCAGGTCTGGTTTGGTCGCCGCCGGTTTTGCCGTGGTCAGCAACCAGCCTTGGCTTGAATTCCATGGAAAACGTATGAGGAATCATGTGGGAAAGGTAGACTAATGAAGGAAACAAGTAGCTGGATATATCAGTGAGCTGAAGAAAGCAACCGTCAATCGTCAACTTGGGGCACCAAATTCACCACAACTCATTGATAGCCTTTACTTTAGCTTAGACAACCGAATTTTGTAGGTATTTCGAGGGAACAGGGGCTCTGTTAGTCACCGCTCACGCAACGCCCTCTCTTTGTCATCATTTAGCTGCTAAAAAATAGATTTGGTTAGTGGCTGTACCATTCGTGAACATAGGCAAAGTGACGTTTCCTGAAAAATTAAGGGGAAAACTGTCTAGGTTCTTGAGATGGGACTTGCCGTTCGTCTACAAGTTACGGTTCAAACAAAACACAAATTCCACATTGAGCCTTTTCCGGAAGTGCCCTGGAACGTGAGTTTTGGTGTAACCCATAGAAAGCCTTATCATTAGTTAGCGCAGTGTACATTTCGAATGCCTGTATGAGCGTTCCTGCATTTATGGAGCGAAAAGCTCATAATAGATTGTAAGTCCTATATGTAGCCCTGAACAACATTTCTTTGCGAAGTTTTTCGAATGAAAGCATATTGTGAAATCTAGAGCTAAGTTTACGCACATCAGTAACAACTTCCAAGTCTTCCACGCCCAATTCGTAGTTGATATTTACATTGCACTTCTCAACAAAAAAAAACTCGGTTCTCGAGCTCACTGGGAGGACCAGCGTTTGAAGGCACTAATAGCACTTGAATACCATCTCGATCTTGCAAAGTCCTTGTAAACTTTAATACCATCAGCAGACATCAAAAACGTTACATCAATACCAGAGATTGATAACATGTATAAATCGAAAGAAGTAACGGTCCAGAACGCCACTTGTTCTACGCCGTTTGAGGTCATAAATAAATTGGACAATGCCTTGCCAACACTCACGCAATACTTACGGATCGTCATTTGCTAACCAGAAGATGCATAGGTACTCTACCAGAGGCCTTGGCATAGTCGAAATATAGAACATTGACTTCCTCCTTTTCTTCTAACGCCTCATTTAGTCATGGAGAGATCTAAGTAGAGCAAGGTCAACAGAATGCCCTTTACAAAAGCCATGCTGTGACGAAGGATTGATGTTGTAATGCTCCAGGAAGGTAACAAGTCTGCGTTTCATGATCCTCCCAAAAGCTCTGGCAAAAACAGTTGTGATGCAACCAGGGCGATAAGTCTCACAACGGCTAAGAGGTGCTTTTTTTGTGGGGGATCGGAACAACCAAGGAATGTCTCCAACGAGCCGGGATTTCAACTCTCATGGAATGTAGATCAATCTATGACGACCATGGCACCCGCCGGTGGGTGTCACTGTTTTTTCCTTTATTTGCACATTTGAAACTTATTTAGTATTTTCATATTTATTAATAAACTTTGTGGTATACATATTCATTACGGTCCACGTGAATGTTTTACAGGAGCTTACTTTTTACAAACATATATAGTCAATGGAGTAGTACTGAAAAGGTTTAGAGATTTTGACAAGATTTGTGTGTCTTGGAAGCATTGGAGGCAATACTTAGAATAACTGACTTAAGATACGTTGTCGCGCGGCCGATCTTCATCCTTAAGTTGCTCGAATGTTGTATGAATCCTCACTGCTTACACTATTACCAAAATTCTAACCTACATTCACATTTTTGATCTAACCTACATTGCTCCCAACCCCGAAGGGCAATTCTAAGCCTCAATTTAATATAAGATAAAATGAGATCTGATGCTTTTGTTATGCAGAAGTATTGCTAAGTTCATTATGTAAGAGAAAGGAGCCCCACCTGAGACCGTGGCACCCGCCGGTGGGTGCCAGTCGCTCACGAAAGGAAGGGGGCGTGGTCCCGAGGGCGCGTCACGTTGGAATCGGCATTGTCGTCGAAGGGTTAAAAAGATAGTCAGAAGGATGAAGAATGCTACAAGGATACTCCTACAAATGCTACAAGGGAATGAAATGAGGAGCGAGAGAGGTGACCTACGCCAATTGGGCTTACACCTTCATATATCTCATCATGATAAAACCATAAAGATGGCTCCATATTTGGGCAACATGAGGTAAGATTAGATTATCGGAAAACACTGATCCGACGCGACATAATTGCTTTGGAAGCTACGCGAGAAAAGCTCAGACTTGTTCAAATTATCAACTTCATCCCTTAATTTTATGAGCCTACGCTCGAAACTGGAATAACATTTTGAAATGATCTTATCGGACCTTTTATTGAGCATGCGATAAGACATCCAACAATACTCGCTTCGCTCTTCAATGGCAGTACCCAAAGTTTATCACGCCGCGAACTCATCCTCAACAATGTACAAGGAGATGTGACTGAGCACGCTTGCGCCTTCGGTACGGAAGAAACTTTTCAATAACATCGGACAGAACATAAACATTTCATTCTTTCATTATCAGGCTCAACGGATGCAGAAAACCCATCTGATCAATCCCGGGAATGATAATCGCCAACATATCTATAGTTAGCTGCCCAGAGCATGAAATTGAAGCACATACTGGGAACTCAACTGTTGCATGTTCGCTATTGGCAGCCGGCAGCAAAACCTCTACCTCTTCAACTAGACAATTAGAATTACAGGATATCAGGTCCAGACAAGATCGCATCTGGTAGGGTTCAGAAATGATTGTTGGAAATAATGCGACCGGAACAAAGCGATAGTTTCATTTGACCGGGCGCTTTCAAAGAAGTCATCCACCAAGTTAATACCACGATGCTGAAATTCTTGAGAACTTTCGTCAGAAACGTTTGAAAATTGTAAAAGAAAAAATCGCTGATAGCTTCGAGTAACAGAGAAGTCGCAAGAGCGCTGCAGGACGGTGTCATTTCTACAAATTGATATAAACCTGACGGAATAAAAGCAAAAATTCATTGATAACTAGATTTTAGTCAGCATTGTTGGCCGACTCTTTTGAAAGCAAAGTTGTAACGGACAGATTATTTGAGCAAGCGGCGGATACCTCCACCTATTTTATTGAGCACGATTACACCTAACCTATTATCACACCTATTATACTGCGAATTAGCAACAGCTCGGTGAGAAAACAGTTCAACATCAGATCTTAGCCAAAACTGCGAAAGAAAAAAAACAGATCAAAAATTTTTTTGAAGAAGTAATCAAGTTGCATTTTTTACAAGATACCTGAATTTAAACATCATGCGCCTAGTCCTGGCTCCACGAGGCTCATGAGCTATGAGAGGTTTTCCGCACGAGCAATGCTAGACATAATGTTCAAATTGGCACCCTGACTGGGATAACGTCGGTTCTGTCTATTTAAGCTAAGTGCCGTGAACAAAGCGCAACTCCTATGCCTCACTGAAAACTGCGACGTCCGTCGAGAATCGCTGAATACGCGCCGCGTGCGATGGCTGCGGTGCGACCTGATTTCGACAGACGCGCGCAACAAAGGGTACCCCCCCCCCTTACTGTGAGCAGAACTATTTGCTAACGAAACCGGGCAGCTACTATCATTAACACCATGAGAAGAGCACAAGCTACCTAGAGGCTCTTTACGTCGCTCTCTTCCTTAGTTAAGGAAGGGCGTAGATAGACTTCCGTATGAGAGAAGCGCAGACGTGACGTCCCCGAACCACCTGCCGATGAAACCTGCTGTTCGGCAGAATTACTCTCACAAGCCTAGGTCGATTGAAATTTAGGATTCCCATTCGATATGTAACCGAAGGAGTACCCTCAATGTCTAAGAAACCCAGTATAGAACCTATGCACTGGTAGTCATGATTCGCTCCTCGAAGAGAACTTTGACATCGATATCCTGGTACCCCAGCTGGCGATCGAACAATGAAGGTGAGCATCGACTCTGGGAGACGTATTGAAAAAGGAACATACGAGAATACTCATCGACGGCATTTCCTTGAACAGACTTGAAAAACATGTTGGACGACATCAAAGTTCTGACCTATCTCCTTAAATAAAGTTTTTTTCTTTGAGTTACTGTTCCAGACGCGATCGCTTCGCTGGAACCGACGAGGAGTTTAACGCTGCGATTGAAGGCACAGTTGAGCAGCCCTCTGCGTATCGCCAGACTGACAGCCAGCTTACTCTCTCGTAGGTGTTTGATCTGATTTCTTCTTATGGTGTGCTTTCTGCGTAGTAGGAGCATAAAGGCGAAGCCTGAGTGAAAAAGGGATAAGGGTGAAGGTATCGTAAAAACAACCTTGCATTTTAATCTGGATTACGGTAATGACATGGATTCTCCATAGGGGCAATAATTTTAAATAATGCTTAGAAAAAGAGATCATCATTCGTGAAAAAGAAAGACCTATCATAGGTATTAGCCGCTTCATATACATATCTTATTTCTAAGCAGGTATAAACTTAGCCATTCTCTTGGTTGAAGGAACGCTCTCTTTTCCAAGTTGTTTCGAATAAAATAACTAAAAATGAACGAACCGCGCAACGTTGACACAACTCTGGAAAACATCCATTTCGCACGCCTTGATACCATACTCCAATGCTTTGTACATATCTCGTTCGAGCGATCCGAGTGAAGCACGATCATGTTCCTGAATTTCCATCTACTGCTATGACGGCAACATAAGGCTTGGTTCATTCCAACCCGCTCGATCAGACCAGATGGTGTTCCTTGTTAGAACATTACAGCGTGAGCCGTTCTCTGTGCAGTTGCATCGAGTGAAATAATGAACAGAACCTTTGTTGCAGGCTAGTCACCTATCACGACCTTTAAATGGAATAATTTGCTAAGGACAGAGGAAGACGTTGGAATTCGCTAATGATGCAAGACAACGGTTAACATCCTGCTTTTGTCAGACCACCGGGATTAGCTACAGTGAGGTTTCTTTGCAATTCAGGGTCCAGCATTTGCACTCGCTTCGCTGCAATTGAGACCATTTGGAGCCCTTTTGCGGAAACCCGGACCCGACTGATTTCAAAAATCCTAAGAGAAGTCTTCGTTTCCATAAGTTATCCAGCTTTTATTCCGTGCTATTGTTTAAAACACTTGTTTTTTCCTTCTTGATATCGCTTCTCAATGTATTGTAATATAAATGCTTTTACGAGCTATGCACAACTTCCACACCGCTAACACAACTAGAAAGAACGCTGTTTTGCACCCTCGAAGGGCAGTTATGTGGCCAACATGGCATTCCTGGCTCAGCAGGACTCCTTTTAGGACTACATAGGTTGAAGTCGATAGAACGAAAAATGAGAACTGATCGAGTAGTCTGCAAACCTAACGGTTTGAAACTTTCTCAGGTACGTCAGGTATCAAATCGTCAGGTATCAATCGAAAAATCCTCAGCGTGACAGGAGTAACACGGGTCGCCTCCAGTAACTAAGCTCCCCGTCCTCTCTGGGATAGCATGGGTAGATACCATTTACAAATATAAATGGGTCTCATTTCCATGAAGAGAGCCCCAATACAGCAGGTAAAACCGCTTGGGAGAAGCTGCTGAAATCTCAGTGTCATAACAGACTGCCTTGAAGAAGGTATGAAATGACGACAAGCACGAAGAAGGGCATTATGTACTAACGCTTGCATCGGAAGCGCTTATGATGCAAACGAGGAAGTCAAAGAACGACGTCAGAAGCTCAAGAAGGACGATGGACCCACTTCACGCCATTTTCGGGACTGGAGTAGAACTGCTCCTCAGAACATGCAACATCAGGGTCGCTGATGGTTACGACCAAGTGTACACTGATGGTTCTTATCGATAAGGACTCGGCCGTGATCATCAATCCCTACGACAGCTTGATGAGCTCGAATTGGATGTTCGAGAAGATCTGGCTGAACCACAGGTCTCACAGTCATCGTTGCCTACGCACTGAAATCAAGCTTACAAAAAGCTGGAAGCGGTGCAGATTGACTGAGAAAGGCCCTTCAGAGAAGAGCACACTTCCTTTCTGCCATAGGGGTTTATTTCATCGCCAAGATCTGCCGAAGAAAACGGCTGAAGAACTTGACACTGGGGCTTTTGTAACGAAAGGGTATGTGGTAGGAAGACTGTATGAGCTCACTATGTCGACTCATACCATCCACAGTAGCTTGCACTTTCAGAGGTGCTCCCATTTGCGATGAACATGGGAGACACCTAGTACACAGTTCCAAATATGTAGATCACATCATCTTCGATAGAAAGTTTGTTGTTGTTGTCGATGTGATTCAAAGTACTTCGCCGATCGGACCGTAGGTTTCTCCGCGCTACATTCTCTATTTGAGCACTTTCACAAGTGCTATGAAAGCCGTAATTTATGACTCACCGAGATACGTCTCTCGTCAGAGCTGATATGCCAGCGTGGACTCGCGCGAGCTGCATGCAATCACAGCTAACGTCCAAAGTTGCGAGGCTATGCAGAAAAGCGATAATAATCGGGCTAAAGCCGAGACCCGGAAGAGCAATGAAAAAGCTCGCCGGAACTTTGCCAACTACAATACAAAGATGATCTCGCTTCGCCGTCTTGATTGAACAGTTACTGTATTTCGAAGAATAGTGGAGAAGGTCGTCTACTTCTATTCGGTTCCCCTGGTTAGCCTTATTTAAAAGCATATTTACTATCAAATGCAGGATGGATATGTCCTTCCTTCAGTTCTCTCATCCAAAATTCGATATGCCAGCAGCGCAGGTTGTACAGCGTCCAGCTATGATTTCGTCAGACCTGAACATTTCAAGAGCTTTCCAACATACATCCAGTCAACATCCTGGCTCGGCTCTCCGCATAGTACCTATCCGAATGCGAAGTGCCCAGATTGTGCAAAACACAACAAAGTGCGTTGCTTCATATGAATGGTGATTGAGACGATTCTTCCAACCTACCTGTCGTCTATAATCGATAAACTTTCCTCATGAGTCATCCTTAACAGGATTGGCAGAATACTACATGATCGACAGCCTTTTTAACTATCAAGGCCAGCATTTGCTATTCTACAAGGAAGTCATTTTTAAAGTGCATAAAGTGAAAAAGTGCCTGGCAAGTCGATATCATATCGTTGAATTTTTCAGTGCCGCTCGCGATAACACCATGTGCCATTTAGAATGGTAAGACTCGAAAATGAATGGTCGGTGGCAGCTACTTACATCACCTGCGCTAGCAGACGACATCGTGTACTATAACATTGACCACAGAGTGTTCGGAAAGAATACTGGCCAAAATCAACAGCGCTTGTGGAGAGATGAGCGTTGGACTGAACCTAACGAAAACGATGTTCGTGAGAAGCAAATTTGTACTTGATGTTCCTTGGTGTATGAAGCGAGTATCTCTGAATGCTCTAGCTATATGTAAGAAGTCAATGGAAGAAATCAATATGAGGAACGACCAAACTTTGGAGCTAAAGAAAAGTAACGCGAATTACGGATTATTTAGGGAGGAAGAGAAAAAGACAAAGAGCATCTGGCTACACGCTCCCCATTTCGACACTGCGGTCCTTCATGTTTCGCATACACTTAAGAGATGTAGGCTCTCCACAAGTAGGATGAGCATGAAGTCCGCGTCATCCAACCTGCTGTGCAGAGGACGATGCTCAAGATCTCTCCTGCCTGGCCACGCAAGTGCAGAAGGGAATTTGTCGTCCGAACTCCGTCAACGAACGAAGGTGAGGTACACGGTAGCTTGCACCAGTGGATCGAAGTTCAGGTGGGCTGGACGAGCCATGCGACTTCGTTATGACTTTTAGAAAGAGCGGTTACGAACTGCACAAACGAACGCCAGAAAGAGTCTCCAGGAAGGCTCTGAACAAGGAATGCCATGCATCGTGTCCCTCGAGAAGGACGAACCACTGGACCACTGGCTAGCGACAGGAACGAATGGGAGCGTTACTGGCGCTACCTCGAGAAAATCAACGTGGTCAACGGGACGATAGGTGACGGGTGACATAAATTGATCAAGTATTGTTACACCAGCTACACCAGTACTTTGAAATGCAAATTCGCAATCGAGACTTTGAAAAATGGGACGAACTCTGGAAGTGAGAGAGTACTTCCCAAATGCACACTGGCCAGGTGAGTTATTCCCTAGATTTCGCTCATAGTAGTTACTGAAGGATTAGAGCACTCGTGGTTCAAATAATTATATTTAACGCGAATGAGTTATTGTGCTCGGTTCCCGGTCCTCCGCACATCCATGATATTCTTCAAGTTCGTGTAATCACCTTTGTTTCATTCACTGAAGCTGAGCGGAATTTCTCCTTGTTGCCCATGTACCAGGTACTGAGTAGCCAACAAGCTTCACCGTCTTCTAAGTCGCACGCCCTGAATCCAGCTATGAAGGTACCTGCTGTCATGGAAAGCGGTCGATACTAGCTTTGCAATTTAAGTAAACCCGCTTTTTCATGTACATCTCAGCCTTCTTGGAATCTGCCTCTCGGTGCTTTTCACCATTCCAGTGCACTAATGAAAGATATCTAAAACCTATCAGGTGGCAAATACACGTAGAAATACTATAGCGCATGACTAACCTGCACCCTTGCTTCAGATTTCCATCACAAGCCACCTGCAATGGGTCGATCGTTTTCGTCATGTTTGGTTGGCACTCTATAAAGAAACCAGTTAGTGACGGATGAGTTTGCTGGAATTAGTGATATGCTGATGGAAAGTGGTTTTCGAGGAAAAGCGGGTCACCGAAAGTAATGGCTCGAAATGATCGCATAAACACGTCTGTCTGTCATCGAAGCCTTCGCCAAACATTTACAGTCAGCAGTATTACACAGAAGTAATTCGAAGTTCAGGCGATCACTACGCATGTATTATATTGGGCTGTTATATTGGGTTCTTAGATAAATAATGCTAATTTCCTTTTCAAACTTTTCAAACTGAAACTTTCCTTTCATAATCTACCTTATAGGATCTTGTCGTATACCATCAGGGAAGTATTTACCCGCGAGACAAATTAATAGGTTGATGCATAATTACTGCTGATTTTTTCGCGACTGCTTTTCTCTCGATACAATTTCAATATTAAATTCAGGATTTAATAGAAATAATCTTCTTACTTTCCTTAACAAAAATGTGTTTAGACAGTCATCTTCATATACGCCACATTATGTTCTATTACTTGGAGCAGCCAGCCAAAGCCGAATAAAGTGTATAATCTGCCTCTACAGCCGCCCTACTGACCAATAGAAACTTCTATAGATTATCACGTTAATCGTCCGTTGAAAAACTGGTTAGCGAACCGTACAGAAGTTTTTACGAAATGGATGACTTGATGGCCGACGTCAAGGCGTAGGTCGCCTCCCAAAATCGAAACTTCTCCGCCTGTGAAATTCGATTGCCAAGCAAATGCGAAGCAGTGCTTGACGAAGATGCATTTGAACATGTCTTTGATGAATATTTCTGCCATTTCTCTTATAGAATACCTATAGTGTAGGACGAATCACAGAGGATAAGGAAAGGTAAAAGGTCACGTTAGGACCAGCAATCTTATCCTATTCTTATCAGCCATTGCAGGGAATTAATAGGCGAAGTTCAAATGGCTGAGTCACAACCTTTTCTGAACACTTCTATTGGTTATATAAGAAACTAGAACTGAGACCCAACCTTTCTTCCTAACTTCTCTTTTTTTCAAAGTTCAACATCACTCCATATGTTGTTGTGAAAAAACTCTTTCACATTATCATAGTCTTACGTTTCAGTGTGATTTGAGTTTCACTTCCAGTCAAATGCAGCTTGCTAATGGTAGTGAACTAATTCGACAGAAGAAGCTTTTGCCATCATCTGCACTTTTTATTCCTTGTGGCGCCGCCGTAAAAACTTCTTGTGATACGTTTACAGAGCGCGGGCAAAAACCAGTCGTGAAAAGGCGATTCGAGGATAGTCCGAGTAGTTCTGAGAGGCCTGATTTAGAAAAACTGTCATGGCTCAGTGAAGAGCCTTTGAACTCCGCCTTCGAAAAAGGATTATTTGAAAGATCCAATAGCGGCATATTTGAAAAAAACTGTGACTGACCGTGAGAAAGTACTATATAATTGGTTAATCTTTTGCAATACAAAACAAACAACGAGTTATCTAACAATAACAGTTTCAGAAGCAAATTATACTGGTTTGGAGTGCTGTAGATACTTTTTAATGCTTTACGTTGTTACCTGAGAAGATCAAATCTTTCAAAAAAAATTTATGTAACAACCTATAAGGCGCTGCTCTCTCATCTCGACGACCAATGTTGGCAGCTGAATCCGGGAGACTACTAGATTCATAGCGAGGATTTGGAATTGACAAGGAATGCATGAATTTGTCATCCAACAACGGCTTTCTATGAGTTTCAGATTTCCATAGCGGATATCTTCAGTGACCAATCCATACATACAGTGCGTCTTCACATAATATAGCCACCCCCAATTTTCCCAAGAACTAACAGTATACGATGTTTCTGAAAAAGTGCCAAATTTAAAAATGTGTCAAATTTCGATTGCAATTCGCACATCGTCATCGAGTTCCAGCATGGAAACACAAAATTTTTTTGGTCAATCTTTCAGTAAAGGGTGCTTTTCCAACGTACCCAAATGGTACAGCCACTTCATGTCTTCGTGTCTTGTTTTAGTTCAACGCAACCAAGTTGCTCTGATTATGTAATGTTTTTCATTTTTAGGCAATTGGAAGAAAAATTTGCTTTCGGAATTCGAATAAGGTCAAATGAATCACGCCAGATTTCTGTCGATGTCACGCAGTTTTGGATAATTTCATCAAGAGTCCTGAAGCCTATGATGAATCCAGAAGACGTGCTGGACGTCAGAAACAGAAGCACCCAAGCTTGGTTCTTTCGGCATTGGATTGCACTTCTACCCTGGCCGCGAACAGCCCCGATTTGAATACGATGGAAAATGTATGGGGCTTCATGACGCAGAAAATTTACGCAAAAAATAAGCAGGTCCGAGCGTCAAGGAGTTGAAAAAAGTGATCAGCACTAAGTTTATCAGGAGCTGATTGATAGTCTTTATTTGACCCTAGACCACCGTATTTCGAAGTAATTCGATTGATGGTGGACCAACTGATTATTGGCTTTGCAACTTTCTCTCCTTGTTGTTGTTAAACAAATTAATTTTCTTAGTGGCTGTATCATTTGGAGACGTTGGAACAGCACCCGTTACTGAAAAATTGACTAAAAAAATGTTTGGGTTTCCGAGCTGGAATTTGGTGATAATGTGCGAACTGCAGTTCAGATTTGACACATTTTTTACTTTGACACTTTTTCAGAAACATCGTGTACAGTGAGTTTCCGGGAAAATCGGAGGTGGTTGTATCATTTGGAAACGCACTGTATGTTAGAGACTATTACACCTGCAATTGAAGCTATCACATGCTTCATGGGAAAGCTTGCAAACCCATCAAACCAAACAGTGAAAACGTACATGTGCTGCACATTGACTGAAACACTAGAAAATCTTCTCACTGTACCACTCAATTATTTAGGGAAGAGTTCTCGAGCCAAAACAATAGGGAGACATCTAGCGGGAACCAGACGTCGATCTTCTTCTCTCCAATTCTCCACCCCTATTCTCTCTATGAATAGGTAAGTATATTTGTATACTGTGATGTATTTACTTGATGATGAAATCGCCTAATACCTTCGAGTCACATGTAGCGAAATCGCCCGCTCTACTGGGTGGGCTCGCTTACTAGTGTCAGAGTCAGGCACTATTCGCGTGATTGCGCCCTTCCAAAACCTGAGCCTGCATTGTACAGGGTGTCCCAAAATTACTGGCGCCTATATAATCCAATGTATTTTACGTTGTAAGCAGCGAGTGACGATGAAATTCGTACACACATTTACTTACACTATGTACAACAGTAACCTATAATTGGATTTCAAAATCCTCCATCGGCACAAATACAAGTTTGAAGTCTCTTTTTTGAATTCGCCGCACGCGGCACGCAAGTATCCTTCACCTATTTCTTCTCAAGCTCTTTTTAGTTCTGCTTTCAACGACTCCGGATTAGGGTGACAAACTCGACCGACCTCCCTTTCAATTATGGACAACACAGAGAAGTCGAGCGGGTTGAGGTCTGGGGAGCAGGACGGCCAATCCTCGACGCTAATGAATTCGGTCAACTCTCGTCGGCACCACTCCTGAACGGGCTTGGCTCTGTGGGCTGGAGCGCTGTCCTGCTGAAAGCATTGTTTCCGAAGTGGGAATCGGACCAGGACTTCAACACGTCCATCAGCATGCTTTTTTAGGTAAAGTCCTAATCAATTTTCACGCCTGCATCGACGAAAACCAACGGTGTTTTACCAGTCGCCGTGACTCCCCCAAACCATCACTGAAACAGGGTTAGCTGTTCTTCCAACTATTCTTCCTCGAGACATAGCACTTCCAATGTTCTCTGCCAGAACGCGGTCATTTTGGTGGGTAAGGACAGGCTCAATGGTAAAAATTTTCTCGTTGGCGGAAATGATGGGGAGGTGCATGTCACCACTGAAGCGGATCAGCAATCTTTCGCCAGAAATGAAGCGGCACTTTTGTATAGAAGCGGCAGTGAGGCTTCTCCTTAATAATCCTCTCGACCGAAATCTTCGATACACACAGCCCTCTCGCTATTCCTCTGATGGACCGCCGAGGGCTGCGATCGACTCTCGAGCGAGTTACTTTGATAATCCTATCAGTGGAAACACTAACCTTTCTACCTCTTAACGGCTTATCATTGAGTGATGCTGTTCCTCCGAATCGTTTGATGGTGCTTTGTGCCGTTCTCATTGGAACTTCGAGAAATTTCGCTATGCGAATTATTGCGGGTCGCATTGGGTGAGCCTTCATTATCTTAAAGATATTAGAGCCTGACCCCGGTATCTATGCGGGTTGCAAGAAAACGTACTTATGGATTCAGTCAACACCCAAAGAAGTGAAATGAATCAGCAAGTTTAGCATGGGGAGCTTCAAAATATGGCACCAATAATTTTGGGACACCCTGTACATGTACAATTCTCATACAACTGTGCAGCTACTTTACTGCCTGCTGAAGTTACAGTCGGTGGCTTATCGCTCGATATTCTTCGCCATGACACAGTACATTTTTCTATTCCTGCTTCTTTGTGTGAAATGTTCAATCCAACGTTTTTTCAGTACAATTATTTGGATAGCGGCTTTAAGCGGATTCGCAACACAGTACTGATCCAACCTGGACAGAATGGCAGGAAAGAAAGTCGGGGAGCTTCCACTCGAAGACTGCTAGAATTACGGCTCTATCGCAGTTCACGGCACGAAGCCCTTCGACGGATCGCAGCTTAGGCACATGGTCCAACGAGCCTTATTCGCTTGTAAGCAACAAACAAGCGAATCTTCGGCTACCCCTGCCAATCCCTTGTTCGCTTTGGTTTGCGCAGCCGCTACTGACCAGGATCCAGCTATTCACAAGAAGTGCGTTTAGGAAGAACAGCCTGCCCGCCTTTGTCCGAATATCAGATATTATGCCAAACTTGGTATCCCTCTTTTTGAACCAGGCTGTCTCCGTCCAAATAGTAACGGCTACTAGCTTAAGTTAGAGCCGATTGCTAAGGCACATTGTCGGTCCCTCCAAAACCGATTTGATTAATCGGCGTCTCCCCGAAAAATCAGCCCTAGGTGACGCAACTGACTCAACGGGACCCAGTCTCTGTGTCAGCGCCAGGGAATATTGACCCAATTTCCTTCTATTATGCGAAAATAGACTTTTCTCTCGCATGGTAGAAGGAAATAGGGTTAATGTCAATATTAGTATATTAATAATAATAGACATAATAATAAAACCCTTCTCTATTTCAGTCTTCAAGAACTGACATAAGTATTTGCTACTACCTCCGAAATTCGCACTAAGGAAGGCTCCAGCTGGGCCTATGTCCAATTCTTCGAATTAATCGCCACGACCCTGCGGCCGGGCGCTAGACAACGCACAAGCCAGCAACGGCTGGATATAGGTGTTCCACTCAAGCGCCATCCATTTTCAAGGCTAGATAATTCGGCAGAAGAGTTGCTGCACACTCCTTAGCGGGTACCGACTTCCATGGCCACCGTCCTGCTGTCTATATCAACCAACGCCTTTTATGGGGTCTCATGAGCGAGAAGTTAGGCACCTTAACCAACGTTTGGTTCATCCCACAGCGCCAGTTCTGCTTACCAAAAATGGCCCACTTGGAGCTCGCGTTCGTGTCAACAGTTCAACAAAGAAACCGAGACAACATACCCATTGAAAGTTTGAGAATAGGTTGAGGTCGTTTCGACCCCAAGTCCTCTAATCATTCGCTTTACCGGATATAACCGCAATGAACTCCAGCTATCCTGGGGGAAACTTCGGAGGGAACCAGCTACTAGATGGTTCGATTAGTCTTTCGCCCCTATACCCAAGTCTATCGATCGATTTGCACGTCAGAACCGATACGGACTTCCACCAGAGTTTCCTCTGACTTCGTCCTGCTCAGGCATAGTTCACCATCTTTCGGGTCGCAACCTGTACGCTCTACCGCTGCCCATCTGCATGCAGACAAGACAGGGCCATGGTGCGCTGCTTCGAAAAGCAGATCCCATGTCAGCCGGTTAACCGACCTTTACTTTCATTACGCCTTGGGGTTTTGCCACCTCTCGACTCGCATACAAGTTACACTCCTCGGCCCATATTTCACCACAGGTCGGAAAGGTGATCAAGTTTCACCCTACACACACAGAACGCACAGCCAGTGCTGTCAGCGCAACCATAGGCAACATACATCACCTGTAGCCACAATTAAGCGACATTAGGAAACTTAGTTACCCGGTTACGTCAACTCTCTCCGGTTCCACTCCAGCGATTTCACGTTCTCTTGAACTCTCTCTTCAAAGTTCTTTGCAACTTTCCTTCACAGTACTTGTTTGCTATCGAAATCACCTTTATATTTAGCCGTAGATGAAGTTTGTTAACCACTTTAGGCTGCACTTTCAAGCAAAACGACTTCAAGGCAAAATCATACTGCTTGATCCACTGTCTGCACAGATCTCGCGTCTTCTCAAGAAAGTGGAACTTAAAAAGGGATCTTGAACATGCATGTAGCACAAACTATTATACGCTACATTTCTCAACATTGTAACACCTAAAGCGATGGGTCTTCCCCCGTTCACTCCCCGTTTAATGACATTCATATTCATAATCGTGATTATGTGGTCGTGGTCCATTAGCTGCAGCATCCATACCTTCTCTATGGCCTAGGAAGAAATCGAGATCTTGTGTGCAGTTCCTCTCGCAAAGATTAGTTCCTGGTCGACGCTGCCACACATCACCAATCCTCCGTCGACTTTATGAAAGTCAGCAGCTTCTTCGCGCAATGCACTTCGCGAGCAGTTCGGCTCGCTATATCCAATATCGTAGCAAGCTCAGCACCGCTGGTAGGAACATTCAATAACGTGACCGCTCGCCTCTGTACTGAGACCCATTTGGACCCAGAATGGATCGATTTATCACAAGTTCTGGGCTTTAGTTGAGGTTTTTCAGGAGTTCAGGCGCTGGATTGGCTATTTTATGAATTTTGCAATCGAATTTCTACCAAAGATTTGGCCTTATCGGAGAGAGCGGATTCATCACGACATCACCACAGTTGTTCCCCCTCACCGCTATGGCCCTCCTCTGATACCTCTAAAAATTGAGAAGAAATCGGACAAGTACATCAATGGGTTACTTTACGGAGGAAGAGTAGTCGAGAGTGATACTCCTTGGCTTAACACCCCCTTGTCTATGAAAAAGAAAAACAGTCCTTCGAAAGTTTGTTTCAATTTTCGAGTCTCAATAATTTCACCATACAGGATCATTACTCATTTCTTGTAATAAGGACATCTTATCATATTTCGATTCATTACATTTACACCACTTCAGATTCGACATCGGTATTTATGCAACTTCTGTGAAGTCAGAAAAATGCGGTTGACTTCCCGTGGTATATACCAACTAGTCTGGGATATATAGGACACACCTCTCGGATCGAGGAACGTGGGATCGTGTTGTTGAGTTTGACAAGGACTTCTATGCCCACCTCAATCCCTTGAAAAAACTCTTTCACTACTTCCTAATGGAGAAAACTCGTTAGGCCACGAATCCTCAAGTCACCGTTATTCTCTTGCAGAACGCAATACTCAAGCCATCCCATTCCTGCAGTCAGACGCTTTGTAGCATGGGGAAATCTTTCGTAAATTAATCGCCATTTTGCTTCGTTTTCATCCCTGCTCTATGCCTTCTCAAGAAAAAATTTACACATGTGGCCTGAGGAAGAAGAAGCATCCTAGTCCCGCAATCCAGTGGCACATTCTGCTATCCTCAGAGCCATGTTTATTCTTCCTCCAAAACAAGGAGGCTCCTCTTGCATACCGTCGGAAGTCAGCTCGCGGTTGGTGCAGCCTCATTCCAGACCTGTTCTGAATCGTTTGTTCGATTGCAGAAGTTGGATACTTCCGTAAAGCTCTGTCTGACTGGCAGCGTAAGTGGAGCTCGACTCGGAGTGGTGTAGAAGTACTCCCTACTCGGTTGAATTCATCATGATGACCTTTTTTCAAGGCACCTAATTTGGCCTTGTATTGTACCGTAGAAGCTACGAATTGGTCTGATTGATTAGCAAGGGCGTTCAGTGGTCTCGTAACCCTGTGCAAAAACTAACCCAATTCTCCACGGAGCATCAACTCACAATCTCGCATGCCTTGCCGGTAAGCGGTCGGTTCTATACTGTTTCCGTCTCATCATCTGCCATTCCCTGCTGCACACTCCTTTTGAGAATCTTCTTGAAAACTCGTTCACTTTCTACTCGACGAATTCAACTGCATTTCTCACCAAATCGCACTTCAATTGCAAATCACGTACAACCGGTGTTCACCTCAATATTCTCAGATCGCCAATACCCGTCCATAGGAATAATTGATTTCTTTATGAACTTTTGTGAGATGGATACTCCTAATACCTCTCAAAAGAACTGAGCGATCTTGCATTTCTACCGATCGAGTGGTTTAGAGAGAAGCGTCAGGTCAACAGGTCAGCTTTGAAAAGGCTTCTCTTAAACTGAAACTATTCTCGCATTACAAATTACCTTTTTCAATATTTTGTGGATCGAATCTTCCGAATCATTCAACGTTTGACGAAGAGTATGTCATGTTCCTCTCAACACTCCAAGATGCTATAGAACAAGATATTCCTCGGGCTTACGTCTTCCCAAACAAGTCCAATCTCTGTGTCTACCTCCAGAACATGTTAAAAGGTACGTGTATAATTTTTTCGAACGCACCTAATCAAGCTCACCTCGCACCTCGGCGCGAATTGACCTCAATTAGATGCGGAGACTACGCTATAATTATGCTGCCTCGCTACTAATCGAGTTAAACTTGTCAACCTAAGAGGATAATGACAATTAGGAAAAATGAAGTTTCTCCTTAAAAAATTTTGACAGGAAAAATCAATATCATCACCAACGGTTTTGAAAGTTTTGTATTAAGCGATGTGGTTCTCTAGAGTTGTTTAATATTGGGACTACTCTTCATTGTTAGGTCAATGAATGCCCTACGGCTTGCCATTCAGGCCATTTCGCAGTTTTTACGGCATATAGCAAGTCTTCAGGCTAAATTCAGCACCTTGGAGAGAAGTCATCGAGGACTATTTAACCAGGAGGGTGAGTGCTTTAAATGCCACTGCTTACTTTATAAGACATGACCATGTTTTCTAGAGACGCACTGTACTGTTTCGTTGAACTTACAGGGTGTTTTCCCGCTCCAAACTATTTAGGAGTGGGCGGTCCATGTAGACCATTTCCTCCACTGTCCGAGCTTCTCATTTTTGCTCCGGAAGCCCCAGCATTACAAAATAATTATTCCGGAAGTTTTGCGTCTACACAGCCTCTCCCAACGCAGCGGACCCGTAGCGCAACATCGCTCTACACTTTCTTGCACCCCCACAGCCTTCTCCAATGCAGCTGGATCCCGCATCACAACCTTGGCGTAAATGGAAGCCCAAGGAGTTGAGAACAACCGACTCGCTGAAGCTCTTCACAGGTATGTTACTCCTTAAGTGACCGAGATTTCGAGAAATCAAAGTTGTTCCGGGCGATTACAAATTCTGACAGTGTCGATCATCCACCATTGAGCACTTTGACCGACTCTATGAGGGGTCTAAATTATGAAGCTAGATCCGCCCTTGTACGTCTCAAGGAACTGAAGATTTCGGAAACCGGAAACGGACCTTCATTCAACTGACAATACGAAATTTCATTGAGAATTCATTTTCAGAATCCAAAAGGAGAAAGAACAGAACTTTGCACAGGAATTACCATAGAGGAAGGAAAAGTCTACAAGAAAATTGGAAGGTGTGATATTTCGAGAAGTTTCCTCTTATTTCAACCGTAAGTAATATGTATTTTACATTTTCCTAAATTCGATGAATTTCAACAGCAATTAGCAAGCCGCCAGCAATTACAAGAGTTTTGCACAAAGATGTCCAGATCCTCAACAAACGAAACTATGTGAGTTTTTTTACCTATAAATTTAGGTTATATTTTAGGTATAGGTATGTAGGTAGGTGTTTTTCCTTATTTTTAAGGAATCCAATCGTTTGCTCCCATATCGTAAAAACAAAATATGTTGAATTCATTATGCGTGGAAATAAAACTCTCATAAAACTCTTGGAATTGATACTGGAACAAGTTCTATCAGAAAAAACATTTTTTAAATAGAAACTCCATTTTTTTTAACTGTCAATATCCTCTTTAGCTGACAAGTTTTAACCCGATTAGTAGCGAGTGCCGGCAGCATAATTATAGCGTGGTCCTCGCACCTAATTGAGGTCTCTTCGCGGTTAGGTACGAGGTGAGATTGATTAGAAGCGATGGACAAAATATTCGCACACCCTGTGTTAGAACATAGAGAATGTCCTACGCGAGGGTTAATGGTGTTGAATTAGCCATAAAACTAACTTTAAACTTCGTCAAGTTCTCCAAAAGCACGGAGGAAAACGTTTTATGGCCAGTCTAATCACCACTGACCTTACATTTAACAGAAGATATTCTCTACACCATAAGTGTTGCATAACGTCGCCCAGCCCAGTGATGGAAGATATACTCCTACCAAATTTGAATGTTCTCGGTCCTCTGGGACAGTTCTGGAATTCTGGTCTGACAAACACACACTTAGTTGAGGATTCCAAATTATTGGCGGTCAGTTAAGTTCTGTCGCAAATGATGTCGAACAAACAGGATCCTACTTTGAGTCACAAACATTGCTGGGTAGCGGCCGTAATCTAATAGCAAAAAATGTACAACTACCTCATGTGCTTATCGTATTGCCGCTAATGGGTCCCTATCGCTGCCCTCAGCACTCTCACCCTACTCTACCATCCCGTCTTATCGAATGAAATATAATGAACAGTCAAAGCTACATCGTAAATACCGAAGGGCTAGGGTTTCAATTGACAGGTGGCTCTTGCTCTCTTAGGCTCCTTATCTTCTCTTATCAGTCGTAATCGGTTGTTGTCGCCGAGTACCTACGATCCCGTCATATCCCACATCACTTCTTAAAATGCCGAGGTTATACTGTTGATACAAAAAGCTGTTACCCCACCAACTTTGAACTTTTCAGGGGTTACGAATATCCAAACAACCATTCATTTCGCGCTGACCTCGGCCTCTGAGAGCGGGATTTGGCCTGTCGCCCACCATAAGGGCCCCCATCCTGCCGCCTGTACTTCTACCAAATTTCAATGCTCGGGTCCAGGTAAACAGGATTTATGAATTTGCGGTCAA